GGAACAACTGTATTTGTGCGGCACAAAGCAACAATGATAAAAAAATAGCCTCACACTAGAGCAGCACAGTTCATCGTTAAGGATCTGACAAGTGTTTTCTTCTTGTATTCTTCCCTCTTCACGTCCTGCACCAATCAGGTTTCACATACATCATCCAATACACAGTATTTTGTGAACAGCGCCACCACATTAGCCTTTGGCTATAATCTGGCATGTTTACATTCATGTTTTTAATGTCTGTTCATTGACATGCACTGTCCCATTCAAATAAATAAAATAAATAAAAAACATGGGCAGAATATGTAACATCCACAGTGGTTGGTTCATTTGCAAAAACACTGGTGTGAATGAGAACCAAACTAGTTGAGAACTGCAACACTAACAACTTTAGGGCCCAAGTGAACCACTTTAGTGGACCAAAAGGTGTGAAAGCACCCTAAAGCAGAACCATGTTTGTGGAGTCTGTGGATCCAGGATGATGTCGTTAAAGTGTTTGATGATGTCATCGTTTCAGCTCTGAACAAAAAGAGTCTTTCACAGAGAAACATGAACCGGGTCCAGAGAGAGGCCTCAGGTTTCATCTGACCCACATCTCACCGAGGCCAGGACCGAGGCCAGGACCGAGGCAGGACTGAGCCAGGACCGAGCCAGGACCGAGCCAGGACTGAGCCAGGACTGAGCCAGGACTGAGCCAGGACTGAGCCAGGACCGAGCCAGGACCGAGCCAGGACTGAGCCAGGTCTAAAGCAGGTCTAAAGCAGGTCTAAAGCAGGTCTAAAGTGTCCCTGAAGTGTTTTTTAGACTTGCACAAATGAAGAAGAAAAGCAACTGTTTCAACTTTTAGCTCCGAGCTTCAAAACCACATGATGTCTGTGACTCTATGATGTCTGCTGTGACTCTATGACGTCTGTTGTGACTCTATGATGTCTGTTGTGACTCTATGATGTCTGCTGTGACTCTATGATGTCTGCTGTGACTCTATGACGTCTGTTGTGACTCTATGATGTCTGTTGTGACTCTATGATGTCTGCTGTGACTCTATGATGTCTGCTGTGACTCTATGACGTCTGTTGTGACTCTATGATGTCTGTTGTGACTCTATGATGTCTGCTGTGACTCTATGACGTCTGTTGTGACTCTATGTCTGTTGTGACTCTATGATGTCTGTTGTGACTCTATGACATCTGCTTGTTGTGACTCTATGATGTCTGCTGTGACTCTATGATGTCTGTTGTGACTCTATGATGTCTGCTTGTTGTGACTCTATGACGTCTGCTTGTTGTGACTATGACGTCTGTTGTGACTCTATGACGTCTGTTGTGACTCTATGTCTGTTGTGACTCTATGATGTCTGTTGTGACTCTATGACATCTGCTTGTTGTGACTCTATGATGTCTGCTGTGACTCTATGATGTCTGTTGTGACTCTATGATGTCTGCTTGTTGTGACTCTATGACGTCTGCTTGTTGTGACTCTATGACGTCTGTTGTGACTCTATGACGTCTGTTGTGACTCTATGTCTGTTGTGACTCTATGATGTCTGTTGTGACTCTATGATGTCTGCTTGTTGTGACTCTATGATGTCTGTTGTGACTCTATGATGTCTGTTGTGACTCTATGATGTCTGCTGTGACTCTATGATCTCTGCTTGCTGTGACTCTATGATCTCTGCTTGTTGTGACTCTATGATGTCTGCTGTGACTCTGATCTCTGCTTGTTGTGACTCTATGATGTCTGTTGTGACTCTATGATGTCTGCTTGTTGTGACTCTATGACGTCTGCTTGTTGTGACTCTATGATGTCTGCTTGTTGTGACTCTATGACGTCTGCTTGTTGTGACTCTATGACGTCTGCTTGTTGTGACTCTATGACGTCTGCTTGATGTGACTCTATGACGTCTGTTGTGATCCTGACGTCTGCTGTGACTCTATGATGTCTGCTTGTTGTGACTCTATGATGTCTGTTGTGACTCTATGATGTCTGCTGTGACTCTATGATGTCTGCTGTGACTCTATGATGTCTGCTTGTTGTGACTCTATGACGTCTGTTGTGACTCTATAACGTCTGTTGTGACTCTATGATGTCTGTGACTCTATGACGTCTGCTGTGACTCTATGATGTCTGTGACTCTATGATGTCTGCTTTTTGTGACTCTATGTCTGTGACTCTATGATGTCTGTTGTGACTCTATGACGTCTGCTGTGACTCTATGATGTCTGCTTGTTGTGACTCTATGATGTCTGTTGTGACTCTATGATGTCTGCTGTGACTCTATGATGTCTGCTGTGACTCTATGATGTCTGCTTGTTGTGACTCTATGACGTCTGTTGTGACTCTATAACGTCTGTTGTGACTCTATGATGTCTGTGACTCTATGATGTCTGCTGTGACTCTATGACGTCTGCTGTGACTCTATGATGTCTGCTGTGACTCTATGAGGTCTGCTGTGACTCTATGATGTCTGCTGTGACTCTATGATGTCTGCTTTTTGTGACTCTATGATGTCTGTTGTGACTCTATGACGTCTGCTGTGACTCTATGATGTCTGCTGTGACTCTATGACGTCTGCTGTGACTCTATGATGTCTGTTGTGGCTCTATGACGTCTGTTGTGACTCTATGACGTCTGCTGTGACTCTATGATGTCTGTGACTCTATGACGTCTGCTGTGACTCTATGATGTCTGTGACTCTATGATGTCTGCTTTTTGTGACTCTATGTCTGTGACTCTATGATGTCTGTTGTGACTCTATGATGTCTGCTGTGACTCTATGATGTCTGTGACTCTATGATGTCTGTTGTGACTCTATGATGTCTGTTGTGACTCTATGATGTCTGCTGTGACTCTATGATGTCTGTTGTGACTCTATGATGTCTGCTGTGACTCTATGATGTCTGCTGTGACTCTATGACGTCTGCCGTGACTCTATGATGTCTGCTCTGACTCTATGATGTCTGCTGTGACTCTATGATGTCTGCTGTGACTCTATGAGGTCTGCTGTGACTCTATGATGTCTGCTGTGACTCTATGATGTCTGCTCTGACTCTATGATGACTGCTGTGACTCTATGAGGTCTGCTGTGACTCTATGAGGTCTGCTGTGACTCTATGATGTCTGCTGTGACTCTATGTCTGTTGTGACTCTATGATGACTGCTGTGACTCTATGACGTCTGCTGTGACTCTATGATGTCTGTGACTCTATGATGTCTGCTTTTTGTGACTCTATGTCTGTGACTCTATGATGTCTGTTGTGACTCTATGACGTCTGCTGTGACTCTATGATGTCTGCTGTGACTCTATGATGTCTGTGACTCTATGATGTCTGTTGTGACTCTATGATGTCTGTTGTGACTCTATGATGTCTGCTGTGACTCTATGATGTCTGTTGTGACTCTATGATGTCTGCTGTGACTCTATGATGTCTGCTGTGACTCTATGACGTCTGCCGTGACTCTATGATGTCTGCTCTGACTATGATGTCTGCTGTGACTCTATGATGTCTGCTGTGACTCTATGAGGTCTGCTGTGACTCTATGATGTCTGCTGTGACTCTATGATGTCTGCTCTGACTCTATGATGACTGCTGTGACTCTATGAGGTCTGCTGTGACTCTATGAGGTCTGCTGTGACTCTATGATGTCTGCTGTGACTCTATGTCTGTTGTGACTCTATGATGACTGCTGTGACTCTATGACGTCTGTTGTGACTCTATGACGTCTGTTGTGACTCTATGATGTCTGTTGTGACTCTATGACGTCTGTTGTGACTCTATGAGGTCTGCTGTGTCTCTATGATGTCTGCTCTGACTCTATGATGTCTGCTCTGACTCTATGATGTCTGCTGTGACTCTATGAGGTCTGCTGTGACTCTATGATGTCTGTTGTGACTCTATGATGTCTGCTCTGACTCTATGATGTCTGCTCTGACTCTATGATGTCTGCTGTGACTCTATGAGGTCTGCTGTGACTCTATGATGTCTGCTGTGACTCTATGATGTCTGCTCTGACTCTATGATGACTGCTGTGACTCTATGACGTCTGTTGTGACTCTATGATGTCTGTTGTGACTCTATGATGTCTGTTGTGACTCTATGATGTCTGTTGTGACTCTATGAGGTCTGCTGTGACTCTATGACGTCTGTTGTGACTCTATGATGTCTGTTGTGACTCTATGATGTCTGTTGTGACTCTATGATGTCTGTTGTGACTCTATGATGTCTGTTGTGACTCTATGATGTCTGTTGTGACTCTATGAGGTCTGCTGTGACTCTATGACGTCTGCTGTGACTCTATGATGTCTGTTGTGACTCTATGATGTCTGTTGTGACTCTATGACGTCTGCTGTGACTCTATGATGTCTGTTGTGACTCTATGACGTCTG